TACTCTAGGTACCTCATATAAGTGGAATCAAATAGTATTTGTCCTTCTGTGACTGGCTTATTTCACTTAGCATAACGTCCTCAAGGTGTATCCATGTGGTAGCATGGGTCAGAATTTCCTTCCTTTTTAAGGCTGAATAATATCCCACTGTATGCATAGACCATATTTTGCTAAACCATTCATCCATCGATAGACACTTGGGTTGCTTCTACCTTTTGGCCATTGTGAATTCTCATGGCACTCTTTGGGGAGAAAGTGCAAATCTATGCAAACTGCCTTATAATAATCCTTAATTTGCTTGTGAATTCCCTTACTATCCTTGTCCTCTAACAAGCTTCTCTAATTTTTTCTTGTAATTCTGGTTTCTACCCATTTCCCCATCCCCATACCTACAATAAATGTCTCCAAGTCCTTTTCACTATTTAGAGGCAAAGTTGGAATAGCTTAACTGTTAGCCTGGAAATGAAGGCCACCTAGGACCTACTCCTCCATCATCCAATTAGACTTTCCACTCCCCACCCCAGCTTGTTCCACCTTCAGGGGAGCCTCGTGTGTCTTCTTTTTGCACGCACCTTTCTGCTCCTGTAGCCTGTCTGGTATTTCTACAAAGCTTTCATACTACTAGGATGGCTCTTTCACTGCCTATCCAGGGCCCAAGCCCCTGTACAGAGTACAGTCACGGTATATGCCTCACTCAGGTAAGAAAGGACGATTCCCAAGTTCTTCTAAACGTCAAAATACAGTATTCCAAATTACATGTGCATTTCCTTTTATCTGATAGATGAGCTCTTTTTTGAATGTTAAAATTCGAATTGCAGGGGCCGGCCCAGTGGCCTAGTGATTAAGATCGCACGCTCTGCTTTGGCAGCCCAGGGTACGTAGGTTCAGATGATCCTGGGCACAGACCTACACACTGCTCATCAAGCTATGCTGTGGCAGCGTCACATATAGAAATAATAGAGGAAGACTGGCACAGATGTTAGCTCAGGGACAATCTTCCTCAAGCAAAAATCTTTCTCACCAAAAAAAAAAAAAATTCAAATTGCGATAAGAAAATGAGTATGAGTAAAGAAATTAAAAAGGAGATTACTATTTAAAGACTCTTGTGTGAGTCCTTTTACAAAGCAATCGTACTTTACAATGCAAGCTTTGTCAGGATTTATTTAGACTATCACTTCTTCTTTTTTGAAAAAAGTACCTTGCAGGCAGCTTATAGTTTACTCCCCTCCAACCCCATGTAAACCAGTCCATTTTCCTCATCCTTTAGATGACAGTAATTCATGTGTTTTTCTTCTGAAATCCTATTTTAGCTGTTTCCTCTTCAAACTCCTCCTATTTTGGATAGCCCTTTCCCCTACTCTACTGAGATAATTTAAAATATGGTTTCTTTTTTCAGCAATATTAGTAGTATTTCCTCTGGCCCAGCACAATCTGCAGCTTTAATCTCTGCTGAAAGGCTGCTGGGGACCTGTGCATCCCCCAGAGACGGGAGGAAGGAAGGCTGGGATTACCAACCAGCAGCTCCCGGGTGACGGATGCTATCTCTGTTTTCCTGGCCAAAATACGAGGTTGAGTAAGTAAAAGTCAGAGATTACAGGAAAGGAGGCAGGAATGCTGACTTTTCTTTAATCAACAAATACTCCTTCTTATCACTTTAATGATATTTGATGTTTGCTTTTAGAGTCCAAAACTTTTTCACACATTTGATCAAATTTCCTTCACTGAGATATTCCAACAATTTCTGGATCGATTTGGCTCATCTTATAAAAGTGTAACCTAAGCTTCCAAAGTAGGCTGGCCTGGCCAATTTCTGAGTTCCATGGAGGGAGTTACATGGTGACGATATCTGTGAATTCCTATCACACAGTGGCACCAGCATTGCCTAGGCGGTAATAACAATTGGTGTCTCCCTTGTGTCAACACCAAACCCTCTGGTCTCTGCTTAATCTTACCTGGACCTTAAGGTATATTTAAGGAGTGGGGGATGGGAAACATTAAAAGTTCTTTTGAGAAAAGAATTGTAGATTTCTTAAAAAAGAAAAAGCAACAGAAATCAGATATCTAATTATCATTTCTCCCTTCCAAAAAAAAGTAAAGATACCCTGACTGAAATATCAAAGAGAGCAAAAATCTGAGAAAACCTCCATCATTAAACTAAGCCAGGGTCAGTGGTTTATCGCTACAAATGTTGCGGAATTTGTGCTAGATATAATGTAGATAAGAATAGGAGTGTTTATGAACCAACTGGTGTGATGCCTGAGACAGATGTCAAAGTACAGTCATGTGCTGCATAACGACATTTCGGTCAACGACAGACCGCATATATGACGATGGTCCCCTAAGATTAGTACAATACGGCCTAGGTGTGTAGTAGGCTATACCATCCAGGTTTGTGTAAGTACACTCTATGATGTTCGCACAACAACGAAATCACCTAAGGACGCATTTCTCAGAACATGTCCCCATTGTTCAGTGACCCCTGACTGTAATCCATTTGGGGTGGTGGGAGAATAGACACGGAGGGGTTATGAATGAAATGTATGAAATGAAATTGGCCACCAAGTACTAATTTCTGAAGCTGGGTGTAAGGTACATGCGATTTATGTTACAATTCTCTCTATTTTTGTGTATGTTTGGAATTGTTTGTAATACATAGTTAGCAAATAGTGTAGGTGGGACGCAATTATAGGAAGTCAACAAAGGCAAACTCATCACACAAAGTACATTCTTTTATTACAAAGGCAAACTAGAAATTAATAATGAAATTATAACAAAAACAGCAAATCAAGCATTGGAATTCAAAAATAAAAATACAAGCAATCCTAGATAATGCCTGGACCAAAAAGGAAATAAAAAGTACAAAACGCAATTGCTAAATGTTTGTGAAGTTATGACAAGGAGCAGTACATGTCAAAACTTGTGGGATTTGACCAGGTCTGTATTTAAAGGGAAAGTGTTGCCTCAAGATGCTTTTATTACTTGAGAAGAGAGATTGAAGGTAATGAACTAAGCATTTGGTTAAATAAATTGCAAGAATGACAAAGCATAACTAGAAGATGGATAAGGGGGTATTAAAAGGTTAAAATACAAATCAGTGAATGAAAAAAGTATAATCTAGGGGCCGGCCCAGTGGTGTAATGGTTAAGTTTGCACGCTCTGCTTTGGCAGCCCGAGGTTCCCGGGTTTGGATCCTGAGCGTGGACCTACGTGCCACTCGTCAGGCCATGCTGTAGTGGTGTCCCACATACAAAGTGGAGGAAGACTGGCACAGATGTTAGCTCAGGGCCAATCTTCCTCACCAAAAAAAAAATATATATATATATTTTTTTTTATGTATATATAAAATCTAACCTAGAAAGCAGAAAGAAAGGCAGAAAAAAAATTACGGTTGAGATTGGGAATATAATTTCAACTACTCAACTGGGTGGTTTTTAGAAAAATATTAATTGCCCAAATTGGCACAAGATGAGGAAGAGTATTACAGTTAAACAATAACTGTAGAAGAAACTGAAAAGATATTTGAAGATCCTGCTGCCTTTCCTACCCTCACACCGAAAACGCCGGTATAAGATGGCCTTGTAGATGACTCCCATCAAATTTTGAAGGAATAGAAAATTATTTTGCTACTTAAACTTCTCTAGGATATAGAAAAATATGAAACATTTCTCAACTCATTTTATTTGTGGAATAATTCATTTTCTAACAATTGATTAAACTATTGATCAAAAGAAAAACTACAGGAACATCTCATTAATGCATAGGGATGAAAAATCCAAAACAAAATAATGATGAATCAGATCTACAACTATATTAAAAGAATAACATACCATGATCAAATGAAGTTTATTCCAGGAATAGAAGTGAATCCAATATGAGAATATTTATAAGTTTGATTCTTATCAGTGGAACAAAGGACAAAATACATTTAGTCATTCCAATAAATCCCCCAAATACATTTATTTTAATATTGATTTGAGCAACATCTATTTCTTATAAGACTTGGAATTAGAAAAACAGTGCCTTAATATTATAAAAATATATATATATCAAATAAATAATGGATTTAATGGCTGTACACTTAACTTGGAAGAGTAGTTTTCTTCTCTCTGCTCATCTTTTTTGACTAGCCCTGGGACGCATCAGTTCTCAGTAGGAAGGTATGCCTGAACGGGCTAGCAATGTCTGCTCCATCAAGACTTCAATGGGATTTTTTTTAACATGATAAAGTGAGTCTAACATTCATCAGGAAGAATAAAAAGACAAGAATCATCAAGGATGTTTTGAACAATAGAGAGTCAGAATTTACTTTGGTGTACATGAAAATACCCTATAATATGATAATCACTTAACATGAGAAGTAGGCCAGTGTAAAGAGGAATCAAGATAGATTATTGTAATGATGGCATTTCAGATTATTAGATAAAAGATGGATTATTTAATGTCTTGTTTGTTACAGGAAAATTCAGGAATTATAAAACGAAGTATTTTGTGTACTATGCTATGATATGAAGTTAAATATAATGGCTTTGTTTATAAGAAAACTACAGAAAAGGCTCATAGCGTTTTTAATACCATCTCATAGCAGTATAATTGTGTTTATTACAATATTCTAATTCGCCTAAAGAATCAGATCAAGGTTATTTTCTTACAGCATTGTGGGTTAATAACAATAAAAAATAAAAATTATATAGCACTTATTCTGTGCCAGGCACTGTTCTAAGCTATTGAGGTAATATTAACTCCCTTAATCATCACAACGACCGTATGAGATCGATATTATTATTATTTACCATTAAATACACGAGCAACCAGAGGTGCAGAGTGTTTATGCGGCTTCTCCGCGGTCACACATCTAGTAAGTGGGCGAGCTGGCGTTGCGACTCCAGCAGTCTGGGTCCAGAATAAACATTACACTCCATCTGCTCCGAATGAGCTCTCTATGTAAATTAGGGGAAGTCGCTCATTTTTCAGGCTCTCATACGCCTTTTTGCTTTGCTCAGGGACCTGATGCCGAGAACCCTGGACGGGCAGATCACCATGGAGAAGACGCCCAGCTACTTCGTGACCCGGGAAGCGCCGGCGCGCATCTCGGCCATGTCCAGGGACACCAAGCTCATCGTGGTGGTGCGGGACCCGGTGACCAGAGCCATCTCGGACTACACGCAGACGCTCTCCAAGCGGCCCGACATCCCCACCTTCGAGAGCCTGACGTTCAGAAACAGAACCGCGGGCCTCGTGGACACGTCGTGGAGCGCCATCCAGATCGGCATCTACGCCAAGCACCTGGAGCGCTGGCTGCGCCACTTCCCGCTCGGCCAGATGCTCTTCGTGAGCGGCGAGCGGCTCATCAGCGACCCGGCCGGCGAGCTGGGCCGCGTGCAGGACTTCCTGGGCCTCAAGAGGATCATCACGGACAAGCACTTCTACTTCAACAAGACCAAGGGCTTCCCCTGCCTGAAGAAGGCCGAGGGCAGCAGCAAACCCCACTGCCTGGGCAAGACCAAGGGCCGGACCCACCCCGAGATCGACCGCGAGGTGGTGCAGCGGCTGCGCGACTTCTACCGGCCCTTCAACTTGAAGTTCTACCAGATGACCGGGCACGACTTTGGCTGGGATGGATGACAATATAATTTAAAAAGAAAAAAAGAATATCAAAATATAATATATTTTTTTACCAATCGGTAGAGAAAAGGCAGTTTAATATTTGTGCTGAAAATATTTGTTTCAGTATTTTTTTCAATGAATGTTGAGATTGTCCTCACCTCCACCCTTATCTTCATGTATAACCTACACCAAACATTTGGATCAACAAAAAAGGAAAACTTCACTCACCTAAATGCTTGCCATTTTCGGTTTTTATTTTCTGTTTTATGTATGCAATCATGAAGTGTGCACAGCAGTTGCCATTAAAACTTTTAAGAAAATCCTGAGGGTAAATCTCTCTCTCTCTCTTTTTTTTTTGAACAAGGTCCAGATAAAATTGATGTCTATCCTTATGTTTTTCTCCCTTTAACTTTTTTCCTGTGTCACTTTTTAAAAAAACATTTCCCAATTAATAATATTACATTAGTGGTTTGCACACCACCTCACAGTTGTCACCGTGCTTTCAAATAAAACATCTTTTCTGATCCTTATACTACTATGTGGTATCAGAACTTGGTACCTAGAGATTATTATCCCCATTTTACAGATAAGGAAACTGAGTCTCAGGGAGACTTATCTTAAGGCCAGATGGCAGACCCTGGACAAAACTCTGCTTGTTCCTTGTTTTATGCCACTTTTTCCAGGGAGAATGGGGAATAAGACATCTGTACTGCTAGAAATGATTAGCTAGTTTGGGGATGATCTGAGATGGGGCAGAGGGTTTCCTGTTGCTTTCTAAGTTCCAGGCAGCCTTCTGGACTCAGTCACATCACACAGCTGTGCTCAAGGAAACCACTCAGACCTGGACACGTCTTTTAAGAGCCAATCTTGGCTTTTAAAGTACCCTGAGATAGGGAAATGAGCTTGACTGAAGTTGACAGAAATCACTGGATTCTCGTATTGAGACCGAGATGGACAGCCACACCAGGATCAGGGCAAGATGTGGTAGGAGCACAACTTCCCTATTTGTTGTTTTGACTGTCATTTTTTTTTTTTTAAAAAAAGGAAAAATCCGGGTCTGCCCCATGGCGCAGCGGTTAAGTGCCTGCGCTCTCCGCTGCGGCAGCCCGGGGTTCACAGGTTCGGATCCCGTGCACACACTGACGCACGGTTTGTCAAGCCAAGCTGTGGCGGTGTCCCATATAAAGTGGAGGAAGATGGGCACAGATGTTAGCCCAGGGCCAGTCTTCTCAGCAAAAAGAGGAGGATGGGCATCGGATGTTAGCTCAGGGCTGATCTTCCTCACACACACACACACACACACACATACACACACACACACAAAAGAAAAATCCACTTCAGTCAGAGCTTACAAGTATGAATCTCATTTTTCTTTTTCTCTTTTTAACAAAGAAAATCTGCTTCTCTTTGTAATATCTCATTTCTATCCTTGGAGCTAGTAGTAAAAAAAAAATTCAGTAAACATCTCATTTACAATGCCCTTATTTTTCACGGGTGGAGGTCTGTCACTTTGTCACTTTGTTTTTTCTCCATTTCCTGTTCATACCAATTATAACCTAATATTCATTAAAATTTGGAAAATATTCTAAGAAATGCAGATGTGGGTAAAATGGTGGTTTTTCCTTTTCTCCTATTTGTTTCTGCCCAGCACCTATTTAAATAGCTCAAATAAATCAATGGTTTATTAACGGTATTCCTTTCCTTCTCTGAGTGGGCATTAACAAGATTAGCATTAATGGGAAATAAATTGGTTTAGAGAGAAGCACATGGGCACGAAATATATAAAACGTTTGTAATTAGTCTGTCAGCAATATTTTATTACAGGTTTAAACCCAAGAGGAAAACGTCTCCTATCTCATGGAATTTTTCTATATCTGCCAAAATTTAAAGGACCAGACACTCTAGTATTCTAAAATAATATCCTTTTTCTTCTCCAATGATGTCAATCAAGAGAAAGTAAAATTGTTTTGAAATATGCAGTACAATTGTGCGTTTGCACTCATAGACACTCTATCAGGTGAAGTAAATATTTCTTGACAAGCCTAACACAGGATTAAAATGAAGGAAGAAAATCATTTCAATTTCTGGATAGTCCATCATTGCTCCAAATCTTTGGATTTATGTGTTAATATCCCATTTTCGGGAGTTAAGTGAACCCCAAATCCAGGTCCTCTTCTCCAGTTGATTTCCTTCCCTTCTGTGCCCTCAGTTCTCCAATGCAACAGCCTGTTTTTGTTCTACTTGAGTCGTCACTACCAGCAGCAAGATACTCATTTTAAGCTCCTCTCATCTTTTCTCAACTCATTTTGTTTGTGCTTCTGATTCCTTTATAAGCATTTGCTTGGCATTATTAAAAGTGGCTTGCACAAGGAAACAAATGCATCTCACAATTGTATTTAGCAACCTTCATCTTTTTGTGTTAAGAAATAATAAAAAAAGAATTGAGTGCAAAGGACCTCATCTTGCATGTAGATTTTTTTTGTTGTTCATATTATTTTTAAAATTAATGACTATACAGCACTTCAGGAAAACCTTCTAACTCCTAAGATTTCATAAGAGTCCTAGAAGTTATAGATCCCAGCAAAAGGTAAAAGATCTAGAGTCAGTATACTCTAAATATCCACCTGAACAGAAATTTCCCTTTTCTGCCTCTACGTGATACTTACTCCTGCTACGCATAGACTTGGCCTCAGATTTCTTTTGTCTGTTTAGCTACATCAAATAAGAGGTTTTACTCTTGATCTGAACATCTTAGCCATCCTTCCTCCCAACTGTCTGCTCCACAGCTATGCCCATTCACCTCCTTAACTCTTCTTAGAGGTGGAGAATTATCTCTCCAGGAGAAGAACCAGACGTCTACAGCTTAATTCTGAGGAGTTTGCTTTTGAGGCCGCGTCTACAGTGTATAAATTCCCTGGATAATTTAGTAACTTTTAAGGGAAATTAATTTTATTCTAATGACTGGAGATTAAGAAGCTTCTAGAGAATGGATGTTTATTATTCCAGGAGTATTAATCCCACTCTAATTTTTTTATTTTCAAAGATCTTCAAAGTTAGAAGAAACCTCAATGGTAATTTGGATCAAATCCACATTGGGCACTCGAATCCTTTCTTTAGCTGATTATACGGGGGTTGAAAACGTTGCTGTATCTGTAAATTCTTAACTCTTGATTTTGCAGTTGTAAAGAGGATAAATTTCCCCTAAACACATTTTATCCTGTTTTGTCAGCTGAGACTTGCCAAATATAAAAGATATCTAAAATTCGATGTGTGAATAAATGAATATGTCTATTAAATAATAATACCTTATATTCATGTAGCAGATTATCCTTTCAAATGCATCCTTTCACCTTAAACCAACAACAGCTCTTCACTGTCATTAGTTCCACTTTACAGATGAGGAAACTAACACTTAAGACAGTGGTTCTCAGCAAAAGACGATTTTGCATCCCAGGGCAATGTCTGGAGATATTTTGGTTGTCCCAAGAGTGGTGGAGTATAGGGTGCTTCTAGTGGGTAGATGCCAGGGATGCTGCTGAACATCTTATAATGCACAGGAGAGCCCCCATAACAAAGAATTATCCTGCCCAAAATGTCAGTGGTGCCAAGGTTCCCAGCTTAAGAAGAAATAAACCAGTCACAGCTAGTGTGGTCTGAAGCAGGTCTTAAAACCAGATTCTAATTAATGCTCGACTGATAATCTTTTCACTCACCACTCTTAAGTTCTTCTCTTGAAAACCTTTCTTTCTCTCTCTAACTCTATAAGTGACTCCATTATAGTAATCAGATCAATGTTTAATGTTGTGCTTTGCCAAGAGGAGTACTAAAGAGAAACATCACTGAACTGGGTTTTTACAGCTGAGATACAGGAGCAGCTTGTAACAAATGCATAGTTGCATTTGATGAAACAGAATCAGCTTCAGGTGGGAAAATAACATTGCAATAAAACATTTCTAGAGGCTTTTCAAGTTCAAGTCTTGCAGTTTCAATTTGCCTCCACGACAGTGCTGTGACAGTATTTCTTGTCACCTGACACAACCAAGTGTCAAGAGATACAAGTAAATGGCTCCACTTCTGTTAAACAGCTAAATTCAGATGGACGTGCTATGGTTTGCAAATGGCCCTGAGTTGCTGAGTAATAGCAGAGAAAGGCGAATTCTTACTGCCACATTTTCTAGAAACCCTGGAATTTTGGATGCAATTATCATAGACTCAGGGAAGAGAAGAGCTTGTGGTTCCCAAACATGGGAGAGTATGCCTGAGATTCAGTCAAGTGAAAGTCTTTGTGTAGAAATAAAAGACTCCACCTATTCTATTGTGTCCTGTAATCATTGAGGAAGAAAGGGACTTGAAAAACTCAAAGGGGAAACATCAGCATTACTGTAGAATTGGTGGTCCTTCAATTATCTTCATCAACATGAAAACAGATTTGCTGTCAGAGTCTCAGTTATATGGATGAAAAACATTGTTAGGGAAAGTATAAACCTGTTTGTCACATCATGGAATTTTGGAAGGACAGGCCTTCCCTTTAAAGCTTGATAACAGGTGAATTCGGGAAAACTACAAGGCATTACCCAGAGTAATAAAATAATGGATTTTCATTATGCCAGGAGGAAATAAAACTGAAAATAGAAATTGTTTCTAATATATGGATCCGTTGTGGGATATTTAGGATATTTAGTTAGTATATTTCAGGCTATAACTTTAATTTTCTAGTTCAATTTCCAACTGTTGGTTGTGTTCCTTTAATAGCTATATGCTCAACAACTCTCCCCAGTTTTATTGTCAAAATAAAAGGTAACAAATATAGGGAATATACATTCTGTTGTGAGTCCTTTTCATCCCCAAAGTCCTGGGTCTGATATTTTAGGTGCATGTGAAGGATCAGATATGATGAGAAATGGCCTCCTTTATCAGCGCTGCCTGGCTGGTACATGATTCGGCTAGATTTAGCTTGGTGCTAGCTGATAAATCCTAATGGGGCTTTAAGGTTCTTTCTGGTCTGCACATTGGCAAACCATGGTACATGTGCTT